AGGAAAAAAAAAAAAAAAAAAAAAAAGACTAAATTGCAAGTACTACTCCCGCTCGTGCTGGAGCAGAGCAACTGCACGAGATCCCGACCGGTTGCTCTGTTGTTCTGCGGAAGAATCACGGGCCCTCTGGGTAGATAAAAAAGACCCACCAAGATCCCGACCAGGGATCTCGACCCAATTACTCTCGCGGCACGTAAGAGATACCTGGCAGATTGAGAAAGGATGATAGCAGTACCAAGGAGGGAGGAGGAGGAGGAGGAGGAGGAGAGAAAGAAGACGGGGAGGAGGAGGAGGAGGAGGAGGAGGAGAAGGAAGAAGGGGAGGGGGAGGGGGAGAGACTGCCGAAGATAACAGTGTAATAACACCCCGACGCCGGCTAGAAGAGATGAGAATGGTGAAATTTGCCCCACGCTCTGCTCTGACTTCAAGCCTCCTCCCACTGCGCGTCAATTGACTGACGGCATGAGCGAGGGTAATTAACAAACGACGAGTAGGTAGCTGTCTAAGACGGGTTGATTGGCCGATGCGCGCCAACGGCTTCTTTCTAATTAACTGTAGCTGTGCGGCAGCAGCAAGGCCTTTGACTAATTGGCAGATATAACTGCCAAACAGTGAATAGCATGGGAGGGCATTTCACTACCTCGCAGAGATGAAGTGCCCATCAGTGATGAGCGCGGGAAAAAGGGGAAGGAAACGCAGCGTGTGTCAGGTGGGTGTGAGTGTGACTGTGTGTGTGTGTGTGTGCGTGTGTGTGTGTGTGTGTGCTCTTTCCGCACGTTTGCGTGCCTGTGCTGAGGGAAAACCAGAGGCAAGAGAGAGAAAAGAGAGAGAGAGAGAGAGAGAGAGAGAGAGAGAGAGAGAGAGAGAGAGAGAGAGAGAGAGAGAGAGGAGGAGGGGGACGGGGAGGGGGGAAAAGTCCGTGTGTAATTGGCCCAGGGAGCGAACGACAAGCCGAAAAAATTTCGACACGACGTGGGAACAACATCCCTCCCCCCACTACCTGTTACCATAATTAGAAAGTTAACTTTCCCGATTCGGCTCTCGTCGTTCTAACTTTCCCGATTCGGCTCTCATCGTTCCCAGCTCGGCGGTGCCTCGCCCACTCCTTGAGCGGGAAGTTTCCGTTGCTCTGAGACTCTCTCTCTCTCTCTCTCTCTCTCTCTCTCTCTCTCTCTCTCACACACACACACACACACACACACACACACAGAAGAAAATTGGGAGATAAACACGTGGTTGTATCAGGGGGTCGTTCGGGGCTGTCGAGAAACGAACCGAGGAATGATAGCGATGGAAGGAGAGATCGGCTGTTCAAGTCCCCGGGAACGCAAGCGATTACTTGCGATGAATCACAGGGAGAGGGAGTGAGACACACCTCCCCCAACACTCACCACCTCCACTCACTCTCATCCACTCCTACCCACACACCTGCATATCACACCCCAGGAGTCCAATATGTCAGAACCGAAAATAACAAATGTGGGGACCGGGCAGCGGTTCGAGGAAGAGACAGAATCTGATGCTGTTGGGTTATCTCATCACTCCCCATCATTTTGCTCTCTGCCCCCGCGCCCCCCCCCTCTCCCCACCCCCCCCTCTCCTCCTCTCTCTCTCTCGACTCTACGACGGATGAAAGATCAAGGACGGAACTTTAGAAGAATTTATTTGGCAGTGAAGGAGAACAGCTTTACAAATTATTGGACTTAGAAGGAGGAAACTAATATAATCGTCATTCGATGATGAACAGCGTTTCTCTCTCTCTCTCTCTCTCTCTCTCTCTCTCTCTCTCTCTCTCTCTCTCTCTCTCTCTCTCTCTCGCGCGCGCGCGCGCGGCTCTCGTTGAGGAACTGCTTGTGACGAATCGCCGTTCGGCAGTGGAAAGAGAAATTCTACCAACGCGATCGATGGATGATCAATCACAATTGCTCGGTCATTTGCTCTCTCTCTCTCTCTCTCTCTCTCTCTGTTTGTGTGTGGCTATCTATCTATATTTCTATTTCCGTCTCTGTCCGTCTTTGTCTGCTGTCATCGGCAACGTCCCCTAGCCGTTAGCGGGATTTTGATGCAGCAAGAACGGACAAATCCGCCCTCCACCCTACTATAACTTGTAGCCTGTACTCTCTGATGGCAATCAAATACCTCTCCCTCACCCTAATCATTCTCCCTTTTCTCAATTACATCCATCTTCTTTTCCTCCATGCCTTAGCATCGTCCTCTCTTTCTCTCTCTCTCTCTCTCTCTCTCTCTCTCTCTCTCTGTGTTTGCATGTATCGGCATTGATTTTACTGTGTGCCTTTTCCATTCAGCAACGAACGCCACCCTAGAGTCCTACCCCGTTATCCTCCTGGGACTTCGGATTCTCTCTCTCTCTCTCTCTCTCTCTCTCTCTCTCTTGTCTCTCTCTCTCTCTCTCTCTCTCTCTCTCTCTCTTGTGTGTGCGTGTGTGTATGTATGTACGTGTGTCCTGCGCGCGAATACACACACACATGCGCGCGCGCGCGCACTCACGCGAACACGTGCACAGGAAATTGTTCTTCCCAATTTTAGCCCCTGTTCAAAAAATTCTTAATTTATATTTGAAAGTACGAAGCACTTGATTCTTTTCTATGGAAAGTCATCTACCCACGTGCTAGATCCAGCACCCACCCCTCTACCAGTCATTGGTCATCTCTCTCTCTCTCTCTCTCTCTCTCTCTCTCTCTCTCTCTCTCTCTCTCTGTGTGCCTGTGTGTGTGTGTGTGTCCCTCTTGATCTCATGCGCTCGCCCTCAGCATCGTTCA